GTTGACCAGGATGGTCTCAATCTCTTGACCTCGTGATCCACCCGCCTCGGCCTCCCAAAGTGCTGGGATTACAGGCGTGAGCCACCACGCCCGGCTAATTTTTGTATTTTTTATAGAGAAGCGGTTTCGCCATATCGGCCAGGCTGGTCTCGAACTCCTGACCTCAGGTGATCTGCCTGCCTCGGCCTCTCAAAGTGCTGGGATTACAGGCCTGAGCCACTGCGCTGGGCCAGTTTCTGGCACTCTGTTCTATTCCTTTGGTCAGCTTACCTGTCCTTCCAGCAATACTGTACTATTTCTGTTATTATGGCACATTCTAATTTGAGGAGAGGAACCCCTGAGCTAACAACAGTTAGGGAAGGAACATACCGTTACTAGACTACTAGAGGTGGGGGGAGGAAAGAGCTTCTGAAACAGGAGGAGGGAGTGCTGGGGAGCTGTGCCTTTTCCTGGGGGACACGGCAGTCCCTTGGGAAGGACCTAAGGGGATAAATACCCTGATTTTAGTCACCTCCTTCACTTCCATCCCCTGCTGGAGCGTCCCATTGGCTGATCCAACAGGAAGCAATGGGTGACAGAGACCAGGCCATCCAGGCCGTCCAGCTTTAGACCCGGGCCCTCACACTTTAGGAGGCCACAGAGCTCCCTGCTCACATGTCTAGTATGTGGCCTTCATTTGTACTCATGTCCTACATGGCTATGATGATTACAGATATGCAGCGGCAACAGAACTGAGAAGGGAAACCGAGCAGGCGAGAGGCTGGGTGTGTGTGGCTGCATAACTTTGGCTTTTACTGTGACCCACAGGGACATTCCAAGCAGGAAGATTTGTGATCTGACTTCTTATTATTATCATTGAGTTAGGGTCTCAGTCTGTTGCCCTGCTGGAGTGCAGTAGCAAGATCATAGGTCACTGCAGCCTCGACCAACTGGGCTCAAACCATCCTCCTATGGCCAGGCTGGTTTCGATCTCCTGACCTCAAGTGATCCACCCACCTAGGCCTCCCAAAGTGCTGGGATCACAGGCATGAGCCACCGTGCCCAGCCCCATGTTCTCTTCTGATTAACCTTAGTCCTGGGGATGCTTCCTGATTCCTACTTTATTTGCTCTCCTTAGCATAAGAACATGTACTCGCTATAAATGACGAGGAAGAGACTGCAGGGACAAAGATGAGGGGAAGGCCTTCACAGAGGTCAGCCGCCTGGAGCCTGGAGCAGGGTGGAGAATGGCAGAGGGGATCCGAGAGGCCAAGGAGAGATGTATAGCCCATCATACATCTTCAAGTCTGCTAGAGCAAACCTTGAGGGCTGTGTTAGAGAGGGTTCTCAAGGGAGGCTTCTTGGAGGAGGTGGTTTCTGACTGTGACTTGAATGCCAGGACTGTTTGCCCCACCCCCTGCCATCTCTCCTTCCCAGATGGTGCTTCAAGAGGCAGCTTGTGGACTTGGTGATGGAGGGGGTGTGGCAGGAGCTGCTGGACAGTGCCCAGATTGAGATCTGTGTGGCTGACTGGTGAGTGAGGAGCAGCACCGTGCCCTGGGAGCAGCAGCAGGCTTGGCAGCGGCTCTGCAGCAAAGGCTCATTTCCCGCCCCATCAGCCCCATGAGTTGTGGCTGTCACTGCGCACCCTCTGTGATGGGGCTGAGAGAGGGAAAGTGATGCAGAACCAGGGAGGGTAGAGCCTTGGTGAGGCCAGAACCCCCACTCTGCCCTCCTGCCCATCCTTTTTCCAGCAGGCCAGGGTGGTCCACAGGGGGCCACTGACTGGCTTGATACCCTTCTGAAACAAGACACCTCCTCCCGCCCCTTCGTGGATGCCCAGGACCTCCAAAGGGGCGGGAGCACAGTGCCCTGTGAGCCGACGCCCAGGGAGCATGGTTGGGACAGGGCTGGCTTCAGAGCCTGCGGGCTTAGGATGAATGCCTTCTTCCCAGAGCACCCAGGTTGTGCCCCAAAGCATTCCAGCTCCTCTTTCAGGCTGTGGCTCCTCCACAGAAAATCTAGTCTCTTTCCTGGGGCGCTGGCTCTTCCCTGAAGGCATGAGGTGCCTGCCTGTACTGGGGTTCTTCCCTAGAGCATCCTTTCCTGTCCCCCAACTACCCACCCCAAAGCCTCCAGAATCAACCCCAGGACCACCCAGGCTCCGCCCCCAGGCTCTGGCTCCACCCTAGGATCACCCAGGTTCCTCCTCCAGGCTCTGGCTCCACCCCAGGACCACCCAGGTTCCTCCTCCAGGCTCTGGCTCCACCCCAGGACCACCCAGGCTCCTCCTCCAGGCTCTGGCTCCACCCCAGGACCACCCAAACTCCTCTCTCAGGTTCTGGCTCCATCCCAGAACCCAGGCTCCGCCCCCAGTTTCTGGCTCCACCCCAGGACCACCCAGGCGCATCCCCTAGAGGTTCCCAGGCTAGGATGTCTCCAAATGTGGTTCAGATGTGCAGGACCCTCATCAAGATGCAGGAAGGCCCAGCCCTCAGCCTCCCAGACCGCAACCCAGAGAGCTGACTGGGTGGCAGGGGCATAGACGCTGACTGCCGCCTGGCAGGTGGGGCGCCCGAGAGAACTGCGGCTGCGTCTATCGGCTCCGAGTCCGCCTTCTGGACGTGTACGAAAACGAAGTGGTCAAGTTCTCAGCCTCACCCAACCCAGTCCTTCAGTGGACTGAGAGGGGCTGCCGACAGGTGGGTCCAGACTGCCTTCCACCTCCCCGCTAACCCGCTAAAGGCACACACAACCGGGCTCTCACCTGCTCGGTCTCCTTTCTCAGCTCTCTTGCTGCCAGAAATCTATAATCATAGCAGCTAAGAGTTATTGAGTCCTTCTTACATCCCAAGCCCTGTGTCAAGAGGTTTACATATTGATTCATTTCATTAGCACAACAGTTTAATGTTCAGCAAACACTTATTGAGTATCTACTGTGTGCTGGGCACTGCTCTAGGTGCTGGAAATGCAGTGGTGAAGCAAAATCCTATCTGCATTCTAGAGCTGAGGAAACAGAGGCACGGGGAGATTACGTGACTGTCCCAGTGCAGAGGTGGATTCAAGCCCAATCTGGCCCCTATACTTTTTTTTTTTTTTTTTTTTTTTTTGAGACAGAGTCTTGGCCTATGGCCCAGGTTGGAGTGCAATGGAGTGATCTTAGCTCACTGCAACCCCCACATCCTGGGCTCAAACGATTTTCCAGGCTCAGCCTCCCAAGTAGCTGGGATTATAGGCATCTACTACCACGCCCAGCTAATTTTTGTATTTTTAGTACAGATGGGGTTTCACCATGTTGGCCAGGCTGGTCTTGAACTCCTGACCTCAGGTGAGCCACCCACTTCAGCCTCCCAAAGTGCTAGGATTACAGATGTGAGCCACCACACCCAGCTGCCAATGCTGTCTTGATCCTCACACTTCAGTTACCAAAGTAAATATTTTGGCTGGGCACAGTGGCTCTTATCTGTACTCCCACCACTTTGAAAGGCCAAGGTGGGAGAACAACTTGAGGCCAGGAGTTTCGGACCAGCCTGGGCAGTACCGTGAGACCCCCATCTCTACAAAGAAATTAAAAATTAAATGGGCACGGTGACTTGTGCCTGTAGCTGTAGTCTCAGCTACTCAGAAGGCTGAGGCGGGAGGATGGTTTGAGCCCAGCTGGTCGAGGCTGCAGTGAGCTATGATCTTGCCACTGCACTCCAGCCAGGGCAACAGACTGGGACCCCAACTCAAAATAATAATCATAATGAGTCAGATCACAAGTCTCCCTTCTTGTAATGCTCCTGTGGCTATGTCTCACAGTAAAAGCCAAAGTTATGCAGCCAAGGAAAAGAAATGAAGCACCAGTTCATGCTGCAATGTGAATAAACTTTGCAAACATTAAGCTGAGTGAAAGAGGCCAGATGTGAAATGACAAATACTTTATGATTCCACATATATGAAATATACACTAAGATTAGTGACTGCCAGAGGCTGGGGGAGGGAGGACTTGGAAGTGACAGCTCGGCCGGGCACGTGGCTCATGCCTGTAATTCCTTTGGGAGGCCAAGGTGGGCGGATCACCTGAGGTCAGGAGTTTGAGACCAGCCTGGCCAACATAGTGAAACTGTCTCTACTAAAAATACAAAAATCATCTGAGCATGGTAGCAGGTGTCTGTAATCCCAGCTACTGGGGAGAGTGAGGCAGGAGAATCTCTTGAACACGGAGGCAGAGGTTGCAGTGAGCCGAGATCACGGCACTGCACGCTAGCCTGGGCGACAGAGCGAGACTCTGTCTCAAAAAATAAATAAATATATAAAATGGTGAACTTTGTTTTATGAAAATTTTATCTCGACTTTTTTAAATTGCAAAAAAAAAGAAAAGAAAAGAAAAAAGAAAAAGCCAAAGTCGTCCTGTGGCCCACAAGGCCGTGATCTGCCCGTCACTTCCCTGACCCTTCTCCTGCTCCTCCCCTCACACAGCTCCAGGCATGGCCCCATCTCAGGGCCTTTGCCTCTCTGTTGAGGTGGAGGAAGAGAAGGGGGCTACAGGCCCTCACCCTCTCACTCCCCTTCCCCCTGCAGGTCTCCCACGTCTTCACCAACTTTGGCAAGGGCATCCGATACGTATCTTTTGAGCAGTACGGGAGAGACACGCGTTCCTGGGTGGGGCACTATGGTGCTCTCGTGACCCACTCCAGTGTGAGGGTGAGGATCCGTCTGTCCTAGTGACTGGACTACTGTCTGCTGGACGTCATCAGTCAAGACCAGTCTTGCAGCTGGGTGCGGTGACTCACGCCTGTGGAATTCCAGCAGTTCAGGAGGCCGAGGTGGGAGGATCACTGGAGCCCAGGAGTTCAAGACCAGCCCGGGCAACATAGTGAGACCCTGTCTCCACAAATAATTTTTAAAAAATCAGCCAGGCATGGTGGTGTCACCTGTCATCCCAGCTACTTGGGAGGCTTGGGTGGGTGGATTGCCTAAGTCCAGGAGATCAAGGCTGCAGTGAGCTGTGATTTCACCACTGCACTCCAGCCTGGGCAAGAGAGTAAGACCCTATATTTAAAAAAAAAAAAAAAAAAAGACCAGCCTTGTGGCCAGAAGCCAGAGGATACCCAGAGACAGTAGAGGTCGCATGTAGCTGATTCTCAGCACACCTTCCATGAACCGGCTTCCTGCTGCTTCAGCGTGGTAGCCGTCATGCTATGTGACAAACCAGGCTGCTCACAGCTTCCTCAGCCTCCCAGGACGGAGGTGTCAGGAAAGAGACATTTAGTTCGTTTGCCCGCAAATTGTCTCCTGCAAGGATCTTGGTAGACTCAGTCATAAAACAGAGGCTAAACCAGGATTTGTAAAAGAGGGGAAAGCTGCTGATGCAGGGAGCAGAGACCTACCAGCATGTTTTTGGGGTAACGATCACTGGCCGGGAGCAGAGGTCAGCAGGGGCAGTCTGTCCCTTGAGACCAACAGGGTCATCTGCTGTTTGGGGTGGTCTCTGAGATTCCCCCACGGGGCTGTGTGACTGACCATCTCTGTGCAGCGTGGCCAGCACTGCCCATCAGCATCTCCTGTTTAGGCCAGGCCCTCTCTCGTCGGAATTCCAGAATTCCATCAGCGGCCAAGTCACCCACCCCCACCTCCTGCCCTTGCTTTGAGGGGCAGCCTCCTGCCAGGTAACACTTCCTTTTCTCCACACCCCTGTATAGACTCCTGGAGCAAGGCGTGCCATGAGGAAAAGCTCTCCCGTCCCCCATCTCCCGTTACTTCTCTATTTCCCAGCTAGGCATGGCCAACAAACTAGCTCAATAAAACTGGTGCTAAATACAAGGGGACGGGCGAGTTTGATCTGTAATCAATGCACTTGTCCGCTACCAGTTCTGATCCTAAAAGACTTTGCGGCCTCATGTTTACAATCAGGAGACCCTCCGGAGGCTGTGTGCCAGGCGCCGTGCAGAACGCGGAGACGGCTATGATGCACCGAACAGCTCTCAGGATGCACCCTAATCAGCACCATTTGGTCCAGGCTCAGAGTGTAAATGGCCTGCCCAAGGTTACCCAACCAGTAAGTAGGGGAGGCAGGGCTTGGATCAGCACTGGGCCCCAGAGCCCAATGGTACAAACAGTTTCCATATCTCTTTTTCTTTTTTGAGATACAGTCTCCTTGTCGCCCAGGCTGCAGTGCATTAATGCAGATCTCGGCTCACTGCAACCTCCATCTCCCAGGTTCAAGCGATTCTCCTGCCTCAGCCTCTGGAGTAGCTGGGATTACAGGCACATGTCACCACACCTGGGTAATTATTGTATTTTTAGTAGAGATGGGGTTTTGCCATGTTGGCCAGGCTGGTCTCAAACTCCTGACCTCAGGTGATTGGCCTTCCAAAGTGTTGGGATTACAGGTGAGCCACCGTACCCCGCCCCCACATCTGAAATCTTATATGGCCAAGCATGTGATCATGTACAGTCAGTATTACCATCAGTGCCATTTTCCAAGGGAGGAAACTGAGGCCCACAGGGGGGACTAACATAGCCAGGTCTCATAGCAATTATGACAGGGAGCCAGGATTTGAGCCCAGGTATGTCAGACTGATAATAATATAAAAACAATTCCACTGGCTGGCCATGGTGGCTCATGTGTGTAATCCAGCATTTTGGGAGGCCAAGGTGGAAGGATCTCTGGAGGCCAAGAGTTCAAGACCAGCCTGAACGACAAAGCCAGATTCCCACTTTAAAGAAATGGAAAAATAAGCCAGGTGTGGTGGCACACACCTGTGGTCCCAGATACTCAGGAGGCTGAGGCGGGAGGATCGATTGAGCCCAGGAGGTCAAGGCTGGAGCTTTTTTTTTTTTTTTTTTAAGAGAAAGAGCGAGACTTTGTCTAAAAAAATGAAAAAAAGAGTAGCGCTGTGTGTTATGCACTAGAGCACCGAATTTAATCTTTACCAAACCAAACAGAGGAGATACCACCAAAGGAGCTATTTTCTGGAGGAGGAAACTTAATGTCAGACATGTCCCTTGCCACAGTCACACGGAAGGCAGATATTCCACAAGGGATTCACTTCAGGAGCGCCAGGATCTGTTTATTAAAACCCCTTCCCAGCAGAGGGCAGTACAATGTCTGTCCCCGCAGAAAAGGCCCCTCAGGCCACCCCTCTGAACACAGGAGCCAAAGGGTGTGCACACAGTGGCACCCTTTGCACCCCCAGGACTCCTATGGTTTAATAGTGGTCCTGATGGAAGAGGCAGAGCCAGGCTTTGAATCCAAGATTGGCTGCCTCCAGAAGCGCAAGAGCCAGCATCTGAGGACCCTGCTGCAGCCCGGAGCGGAAGGTTCATGTTCTGCAGGGTGCCCAGCCCATTGGGCCCCCAGCGGTCACTTCTTCTGCACGTGGCCACAGTCATACTTGCCACGCACAACGGTGAGCTTGACGCCTGGCAGGTCCTGCGTGCGGCCGCCCTGCACGAGGACAATGTGGTGCTCCTGCAGGGTGTGGCCCTCCCCGGGGATGAAGCAGATGGCCTCACGGCCCGTGCTGAGCCGCACGCGGCAGCACTTGCGATTGGCAGAGTTGGGCTTCTTGGGCTTGCGGGTGAACGTGCGCAGGACCACACCCTTCAGCTGCGGCCGGCCTTCCGTGGGGCCCAGCTTCCGAGGCGGCCGCTTGGGAGGCCCCAGGCGGTGCATCTGGTTCAGGGTAGCCATGGAGCAGGTGGCCCAGAGCCGGGGAACCAGGGCTAGGCCTGGAGAGGGCCGAAAGGGGTTATCATCCCAGAGAACAGATCTTAGTGTAGTGGCAACTCAATTTTGGTGTTCTAGGCATTGTTTCATGCACTTTACAAGGATGCATTTATTCATGTCTAGCGGTATTTACAGATCAAAGTAATACTAGCTAACATTTACGGAGCAACCACCACGCGTCAGCTTCTCTTTTAGGCATTTTGCGTGAATTAACTCATTTTATTCTTCAAGGAACCTTTTTGAGACAGTCTAGCTCTGTTACCCAGGCTGGAGTGAAATGGCGTGATCTCCGTTCACTGCAACCTCTGCCTCCTGGGTTCAAGCAATTCTCCTGTCTCTGCCTCCGGAGTAGCTGGGACTACAGGTGCCTGCCACCACACTCGACTAATGTTTGTAATTTTAGTAGAGACGGGTTTCACGGTGTTGAGTCAGGCTGGTCTCAAACTCCTGACCTCAGGTGATCCATCCACCTCAGCCTCTCAACGTGCTGGGATTACAGGTTTGAGCCACCGTGCCCGGCCAGGAAGCATTACTTTTAATGCTGTTTAAAATAATAATAGGCCCAGTGGGTCACACATGTAATCCTAGCGCTTTGAGAGGCTGTGGAGGGATCACTTGAGCTCAGGAGTTAAGAACAGACTGGAAAACATAGGGAGACCTCCGTCTCTACCGAAAAAAAAAAAAGAAAGAAAATCAAAAAATTAGCTGGTTGTGGTTCTGCAGGCCTGTGGTTCCAGCTACTTGAGAGGCTGAGACAGGAAGATCACTTGAGGCCAGGAGGTCGAGATTGCAGTGAGCTGTGATCACACCGCTGCACTCCAGCCTGGGCGACAGAGGGAGGGCTTAGATAATAAAATTGACGCAAACCCCGCTTGACACGCAGTAGCCCTCCATGCAGCTGCTTCCAACCTCTTGCTCTAGCAGCCCTTGTTCCGCCAAACCCCACCGTGTTTTTCCATCCCTGGGTTCCCTCGGGACTCTGGCGGAGGCACACGATAACCCAGAGTGAATAACCCTCATTCCCTAGCCTCGTCCCTGAAGCCCGAGTCCCCCACTTACCACAAGTTAGGGACGTGTTGAGGCCACGGAGAAGGCCAGACCAGGACATCCTGCCGCCTGGGCCGTCCCTGTGGTAGGAGATAGGAGACTCAGAAAGGAGGGAAAAGTGGCCGCTCCCCAAATGGTCCCCGATCCGTTCTCAGGACCTTCTGGGTTAAATCAAAGGAAGTCCTTCTTTAGGGATAACTACAACCCCTCATGCTGCTAACAGAAAGTCCCTCCGTAAATTTAGCCTCGCTCTGAGTGGTCTCCGAGGACCCAGCCACTCTCGCCCGCACATAAGAGGAAGTGGGAAACTGGGGAGAGAGTCTGGTAGATTTGGAGGACCCCAGGATTCCACCGACCTCAAGGGCTCCAGCGGTGAGGTCGCGGACACGCTGAAACCTGCCTCTAGCCTCTTCCGGGCGCTATCCGTGCAGGGATTGGCTGGTTCCGCCTTCGCGTCACCGAAGAGGCGGGACACAGACGGCGATTGAGCGACGACGGACTCTATCTCCGTCAACTTTCCTCAGGATATGATTGGCTCGTCCCGGTCAGGAGTGCTGCTTTACAATTGGTCTAAACGCGAAGTAGGCGGGACGAAGTGCCGCCCTGTTCCTGGTCCAAGATGGCTGCGTCCATGGCTCGGCGCTTGTGGCCTTTGTTGACTCGTCGGGGGCTCCGGCCCCGGGAAGGCTGCATCTCCAACCACAGTCCAAGGAAAAGTTTCGCTACAGAGAAACGAAACAGGAACCTCTTGTACGAGCATGCGCGCGAGGGCTACAGCGAACTCCCTCGGCTGGACATAGAGCCGCTCTGCGCATGCCCAGAAGAGGCCGCACGCGCTCTGGAGCTCCGCAAGGGGGTGCTGCGCTCGGCGGACCTCCCCGCGATCGTGAGTGCGCCTGCGCCGGCCGGCGGGACAGGGTGGTTTGCTTTACGGAAGAATTGGGTTTGCAAGATGCGTTCCAGCAGGGGGCGAACTTATTGCAGGAATTTTAGTTCCTTCCCAAGTTGAGCCAACGTCTTGTGCATGGCCCCCCTTATGTGCCAGTTGTCCAATGAGTGCTGAGGCCTTACTATGTGCCAAAAATGCCTACTGTGTCCTAGATACCCGTTATGTGCCTCTTTCATACTGCTTGCTGGGTACCTACTGTCCTCTAGAAACTTGCTATGTGACATTGTCCTCCGTTCTCCAACCTCATGCCAGCCTTACCCTAAGACCACGAAGGAAGGCCGGGCGCGGTGTCTCACGCCTGTAATCCCAGCACTTTGGGAAGCCGAGGCGGGCGGATCACGAAGTCAGGAGTTTGAGACCAGCTTGGCCAACATAGTGAAGCCCCGTCTCTACTAAAGATACAACAAATTAGCTGGGCGTAGTGGCAGGCACCTGTAATCCCAGCTACTCGGGAAGCTGAAGCAGGAGAATCGCTTGAACCCGGGGCAGGGGGCAGAGGTTGCAGTAAGCCGAGATCAAGCCATTGCACTCCAGCCCCGGCAACAGTGAGAGACTCCATCGCAAAACATACACACACACACACACACACACACACACACACACACACACACGAAAATGGGAGCCAAGTGTGAATCGGACAGGGTCGGGGTTGGGATGTGTTGGAGCGCTTGCCTTTGGAGAGAGGTTTAGGGAGAGTTCTGCACCTCCCCCTCACCTAGCAGGCAGTTAAATAGGGTTATTTAATGAATGAATGAATGAATCCATTAATGAATGGTTCTATTAAATTGACATTTAAGGTGCAACTATATGTTCCAGTGTTCCAAATGTTGCAAATGTGCAGTGAATAATAATACAATTGCTAGCACTTACAAAAGGGAATTAGAGGCCAGGCACACACCTATAATCCCAGCACTTTGGGAGGCTGAGGCAGGCGAATCACGAGGTCAAGAGATCGAGACCATCCTGCCCAATATGGTGAAACCTTGACTCTACTAAAAATACAAAAAAAAAAAATAGCTGGGTATACTGGCGAGTGCCTGTAATCCCAGCTAGTCAGGAGGCTGAGGCAGGAGGATCACTTGAACCAGGGAGTAGGAGGTTGCAGTGAGCCGAGATTGCACCACTGCACTCCACCCTGGCAACAGAGCAAGACTCCGTCTAAAAAAAAAAAAAAAAGTGGGGGCGGGGGCGGGGAATTAGAACCGGGTTCACCATATCTCTGTGGTGAGGTGTTAGGGATGGTGGGGTCCCATGTTTTCCCAGTCCTCTCTTGGACTCCCCCACCGGCCTGTTTGATGTGCCTTATACACTTTAACCTCGTTTAATTTTCACGATAACTCTATGAAGTAGTTGCCATTATTTCCCCTATTTTATCAGAGAGAAAACTAAGGCCCCGAGAAGCTAATTCACTTGTGCTAGGTCATGCAACTGGAAGTGGCAGAATGGGATTTTTTTTTTTTGAGACAGAGTCTCCCTCTGTCACCAGGCCCCAGGCTGGAGTGCAGTGGCACAATCTCGGCTCACTGTAAGCTCCACCTCCCGGGTTCAAGCAATTCACTTGCCTCAGCCTCCCCAGTAGCTGGGACTACAGGCGCACACCACCATGCTTAGCTAATTTTTGTATTTTTAGTAGAGACAGGGTTCCACCATGTTGGCCAGGATGGTCTCAATTTCTTGACCTCGTGATCTGCCTGCCTCAGCCTCCCAAAACACTGGGATTACAGGCTTGAGCCACTGCGCCCGGCCAGAGTGGGAATTTTTACCTGTGTTTCCTGGCTCCAGAATCCACTTTTTTTTTTTTTTTTTTAAGAGACAGGGTCTTGTTCTGTCACCCAGGATGGAGTTCAGTGGTACAGTTATAGTTCACTGCAACTTTGAACTCCTGGGCTCAAGCAGTCCTCCTGCCTCAGCCTCCCATGTAGCTGAGACTACAGGCAGATACCACCACACCCAGCTAAACTTTTGTATTTTTGGTAGAGACAGGAACATGCTATGTTGCCCAGGATGGTCTTGAACTCCTGTGCCCAAGTGATCCTCCTGCCTTAGCCTCCCAAAATTCTGAGATTACAGGCGTGAGCCACCACACCCAGACTCCACAGTCTTAACTATCCCACTGTGCCCTCTCATGACCTGAGTTTACAGTTTAGTAAAAGATAAATATTTTTTATTTTTGAGATGCAGTTTTGCTCTTGTCTCCCAGGCTCCAGCAGTGGTGAGATCTCGGCTCACTGCGCCCTTCATTCGCCTCCCAGGTTCAAGTGATTCTCCCGCCTCAGCCTCCCGAGTAGCTGGGATTACAGGCACGTGCCACCACACCCACCTCATTTTTGTGTTTTTAATAGAAATGGGGTTTCACCCTGTTGGCCAGGGTGATCCTGACCTCAAGTGATCCGCCCACCTCAGCCTCCCAAAGCACTAGGAGTACAGGTGTGAGCCACCACACTCAGCCAGTGTGTCTTAATTCTGGGCAGCTGTGTGGCCAGCTGAACCTCAGGGCATTCCAATACTGAAAGGGAGGAGGGCAAGATGGCCTCTGAGGGCTAGGCAGGGATCTCTGCCTCACCCCGCCGCAGATCCAGGTGTCCAGTGGGCTCCAGAGAGAAGGGCAGGAACAGTGACTGCTCACCTCCTTCCCTCTTATGTCCACCCAGATCTCGACATGGCAGGAGCTGAGGCAGCTGCGGGAGCAGATCCGGAGCCTGGAGGAAGAGAAGGCAGCCGTGACGAAGGCAGTGCAGGCCCTACTGGTGAGCGTGGGGCCCTGAGTGGGTGGGGAGTGGCTGCAAGCGTGTCTCTCGACACAGGTAACAGGAAACTCAATTTAAAGAGCTTGAACAGGCTGGCGCAGTGGCTCATGCTTGTAATCCCAATTACTCGGGAGGCCTAAGTTGGAAGATCACCTGAGGTCAGGTGTTCGAGACCAGTCTGGGCAACATGGTGAAACCCCACCTCTACTAAAAATACAAAAATGAGCTGGCATGGTGGCGGGCACCTGTAATCCCAGCTACTTGGGAGGCTGAAACAGGAGAATGGCTTGAACCCAGGAGGTGGAGGTTGCAGTGAGCCGAGATCACGCCATTGCACTCCAGCCCAGGCAACAGAGTCAGACTCCATCTATAAATAAATGAATAAATAAATAAAAATAGCATGAACAACGTGGACATGCATTTCCTCACATGGCACACCATGCAGGACCCTGGCATCCCTAGGGTTGATTGATTAGTGTCTCTTCCAGCATCCCCAGCCCAGGTGCTTTTCTGTTCTCTGCACCGGCAACATCATTGCACCGATCTTTCCTCAGTTTCCCCATCAGGGTTTCCAGATGGCTGCTGTAGTCCAGCGTCTCCTCACATGACTGTGCCAGTGGGGGGAGGAGACAGGGACTTCTCTGGCTTGAGTTCCTTCTCCAGCAGCAAGGACACCTTTCCTGAAGCATCCAACAGAGTCACCTCGTGTCGCCGGGCCCAGAGCCCCACCCCACCACAGTTGCTCAGGCAGACAGCATAGACCAATTGGAGACCAGCCTCAGGTGGGGCCCATGTCCCCTGAACTGCAGCTGCCGGGGAAGGGTGAACTGAGTCAGGGTTCTGTGGGGAAGGAGAAAGAAGGGATTTTTTTTTTTTTTTTTTTTTTTTTTGAGATGGAGTTTTGTTCTTTTTGCCCAGGCTAGAGTACAACAGCACAATCTCAGCTCACCGCAACCTCCGTCTCCTGAATTCAAGCAATTCTGCCTCACCCTCCCAAGCAGCTGGGATTGCAGGTGTGCCCCACCACACCTGGCTAATTTTGTAATTTTAGTAGAGATAGGCTTCTCCATGTTGGCCAGGCTGGTCTTGAACTCCCGACCTCAGGTGATCCGCCTGCCTTGGCCTCCCAGCCAGGATCTTTATTTTATTTTATTTTTATTTTTATTTTTTGAGACGGAGTCTCACTCTGTCACTCAGGCCGGAGTGCAGTGGCTTGCAACACCCTCTGCCTCCCAAGTTCAACTGATTCTCCTGCCTCGCCCTCCCAAGTAGCTGGGATCACAGAGATGTGCTACCATGCCTGGCTAATTTTGCATTTTTAGTAGAGACAGGGTTTCACCATGTTGGCCAGGCTGGTCTCGAACTCATGACCCCAGGTGATCCACCTGCCTTGACCTCCCAAAGTGCTGGGATTCCAGGCCACTGTGCCCAGCCTGGAAGGAAGGATCTTGGGATAGACAACCAAAAGCATCTGCAACAGAGGGCTTAAAAAACAGTCATGAGAAAAGCAGACCTTATGTAGAAATCGCTGTGCACCCTGCCAGGTGCTTTCCACACCCTTAGTCCTCACAACAACCTCTGACACAGGACCCATACAAACCCAGTTTTACAGCTGCGAAAAAGTGAGGCCCTAAGACATTAAAACAGACCTAAGTGGCCAGGTATGGGGGCGTGCGCCTGCAGTCCCAGCTACTCTGGAGGCCGAGGCAGGAAGATCACTTGAGTCCGAGAGCTTGAGGCTGCAGTCAGCCTCAAACTGTGATCACACCATCACACTCCAACCTGGGCAATAGAGCAAGACCCTGTCTCAAAGAAAAAACAACCCAACAAAGTACCTAAGTTTCACAGCCAGGAAGCGGGAGAGGCAGGGTTTGCACCCAGGTGGTTGGTTTGCAAGCCTCAGGCTGTGTGCGTCACCGACAGCCAGTGAAAGCAGCGCAATGGATCGTCTAATGTCTTTTGAGTGCTAACTCATCTTTTCAGCGAAGCTGCGTGTTGGGCAGGGCAACAGCAGCCCTGCCGGGCGTCCTGTTACCATCCCACTTCACAGATGGGGATACTGAGGTTCAGGGGGGCAGACGTTTGCCCAAGGGCTCGCAGCAGGTAGGTGCC